GTCTGGGCTGTGACAGCTGGACGTGGTAGCAGGGGAGTCTGGCTTCAGTCTGCTGTTTAACAGCACTGCACTAACACATGCCCGATAGACAGCATCTGCCTTGAGGAGAGATGCTTTCAGTTACTCTACAGGGCATTGAGGCAGTTACAGGGGTCACTTTTACCAAGCTTTTCTAGGTGTGACTCCTCAAGATCCTACCTTATGATTGCTTACAGATTTTTAATGCAGAAAGTAGAATTTAGATAAGGATTTGGAAGTCCTTCAAAAAAAGCCAAGGTCTCGGAAACCTGGTATTATTGTTAGAGCCTTTTTTCTCTTTGATCAGCTGCTTCAAGTGAACATCAGTTGTACTTCGGGGAAGACTGGCTTCCACGGATCCCCAGTCTAGAACTCCTGGTCCTTTGTTCTGCTTCTGCCAGAGCAGCTCTGGCCTTTTGTTTGGTTTTGTTTATTTTTCACATTGGTCTTCTGTCCACAAGAAGAGCTGGTCCCAATGGTTTAAAATAAGTTTGATAGTCCTAGAAAGAGTGGAAGGAAAAACCAATTTGTTTATCGTGTACCTCTCTCTCTGTCACTCTTCTCAGTGAAATATTTGCAGAGCTCTAAATTTAGGGATGCTTTTGGTATATTTCTTCTACACTCCAGAGGCACTCCAAGTGTTTGTTTAGTTCAGTGACCTTTAGTGTCAGATCTGTCTTAGCTTTGCTAGCTGAATTTGCTCATCCATTTTGAATTCTGTCTAGCCTGTGTCCGTTTGTGTGTGTGGACAGAACGAGACCAGGGAGCTGTCATGCAGTTGTGTTTGTTGTCCAGCAGTACAGTCCCAAAGGGCTGTCATCCGTGCTGATGGGGGGGGGCTGTGACAGCCACTGGTACCACCTTAGAGGGAATGGAAGGAAGGGGTGACTTGATTTTTATTGAGCAAACACTGTTCTGTGTGCATCGTAAATGTCAATTCTTTGAACTAGTTTATCACCGAGCATCTCCTGTTTACCAGGCACTTTACCTGTGTTCCTCTGTGTAATCCACCCTGGCAGGATGGTACTGTGTTGCCATCTCTGTTTTACAAATGAGGAAACTGAAGCTCAGAAAGTCAGACAGATGGTAAGTGGGATAGTCAGATTTCCAGCCAGGTCTACCTTCGAGCTTTTCCTTCGTAGAAGGGTAGTGCTGAGTTCACTTCTGGATCTGCGTTAGTCATCACCTCACGCAGGGTGCATTTTAGGGTTTGAGCCTGTGCTGGCGATTGTTCTGATTTACTGATGGAAGACTGTTCAGTCACAGAACTCTCTCCAACACTTCTGCGGGGAGTTCAGAGGAATGGCTCCACCGACTTGCTGGGTTATATTTTCTAAAACAAAATTTGTTACAAGGAATGGAAAGTATGAAAAAAATATGCCACCATCTCTTCTTGCTGTGAAGTTGGTATATTGGCTACTGTTACCAATTCTTGTTAAAATTAAGGTACCTTCATGTAGTCAGCAAACTCACGGAGCCACATCCCCATTCCTATGGCTCCACCCCCTCCAGCTGATCCCCAGAGAAAACGTCAGTGTTGCCCATAGCAGATGCACAGTTTTCTCCCCCAAACCAACAAAGGCTTAATGAAAACCCTAGCAAGTGGGAACCTGTGGGAGAGAAGAGAGAAAAGACGAGTTTACAAGGTACGTTTAGTGCATAGAGAAAGGAGAAAGAGTCGAAGAGCGAGGTATAAAGGAGGGAAGAGACTAGTTTGTGGGATAGGGATGAAGCTGTTTTTCAGAATGTTTAGCGTTCTCACCTGATCGCATTATGAGCCAGCTGCACGACTTTCATGCTCCAGACTTGCACACACACCGAAATGTTTGTGATGGGATTTAAGTTCCCTCTCTCGGAGCTTCTCAGTGGTTTGGGATAATTCGGGTTCATGTGTTAACATACCTCTAAGCCAGATGGAGAGGTATGTTACAGCTGAATGGCTAAGGTAGACGATAGGAAAAAATATGTAACTAAAATATTAAAGGGTAACTAAGTAGCCTGTCTGATAATAAAGTGGCCGTTTATTTTTTGAAAAGCAACCTGTAAGTTTTCAGTACAGTGTTTATTGTGTATCAGCTGATTTTTAACCAGAGAGAAAAATTGGCCGAAAGACACTAAGATACTCGTTTTAGAGTTCTAGCTTCTCCTAAGTTGGTTGATGGCACGAGCTCCTTCAGGGGCAGAACTATGTAGATTTTCAGACGGTTACTGCTCCTTGTTTATCTTCTTCAGAATACGCGTGCATTTGCTTTGAGGCGAGTCAGAATCGTTATCTGAACTCACCATGTTCACATCTTGTGTGCACATGAGAGAGCTCAGTTCTGCTGTGGTTAACTGCGGTTATCTGACTTGTCCAACAGGTTCCTGGGTGGAGCTCCCCATGAACAGCAGCAATGGCAATGATAATGGCAATGGGAAAAACGGGGGGCTAGAACACGTGCCCTCCTCGTCCTCTATCCACAATGGAGACATGGAGAAGATCCTCTTGGATGCACAACATGAATCTGGACAGAGTAGCTCAAGAGGCAGTTCTCACTGTGACAGGTAAGTGAGATCCTTGTTTTGGTAGATTTCAGGAAATAGGTGAGTTACAAGGTTCATTCCCATTAGAAAAAAAAAATCAGTTGCTTCCATCTTCATTTGACAAAATGTAACTCCTGATTTCCTGCAGCACGTGTGTAAATCAGACAGCTAATTGACAAGGACAGGAGGGCCCACTTTTCCCTTAGATTAAGTCAGTTTCCTCATTCAGAATGTATCATTTTTCGATGTGGACAGTGTAAAAGTCAGTGGTGTGAATGTTTACTTACAGAATTCATCTTTCTCCCATTTTCCTTTGTCCTTTCACAGATCTCTTTCTGCCTTGAATACAGTTACCTCTGTATATATCTGTCCTCCCTTCTAGATTGTGAGGCTTTAAAAGGCAGGCAGGGGTCATGTTTTGTCTCCTTTGCACCCTTGACAGTGATGGTGCTGGCGTGGAGTAGACGCTCCGTGAATGTCAGAGTCGTAGGAACAGCGGGTTGACCCAAGTTCAGCAGTGTTTGCACAGGGGAAGCACTAGCCCAGGGTGTCAGGAGAGTTCATTTTGAGACCGTCGTGTTTCCTTAGAGCTCAGAGGAAGTTTTGTATCAGGTCTCATTTGTCTGTGTTTGGCTTGAGAAACCTAATTCTTCTAATTTAAAAACTGCTTATAGCGAAAGAGTAAGAATACAGAGAGATGCATGAGCAGAATGAAACTGAGCTGTTAGTGTATTTTTCATTATAGGTCTCTTTTTTTCCCCAAGGACTAGGTAGTAAATGACACTGTGGTGGATTGAACGAGTCTTAGACCAGTGGCAGCCATAGTGGTAGCATTATGGGATACCGGGTGATCTGCTGGTTACGTAAGAGTTAACTGATGCTAGCCACGTAGAAAATGCAGAGGCACAGGAAATAGATTAAGGAAACACTGAAAAATGTAAACAGCGATGATCTCTGGGGGATGATATTTTTATCCTTTGTACAAATTCTGTAGACAGCACATAATATTACTTACTTAACAGGAAGAGTGTAAAAGGAGAAACGAGAGTTAAATCCTGTCCCAGGTTCCTGCGTGACTTCTGAGCCACTGGTGTTACAAAAGCAGCAGAGGGCTGGTTTGCCGGCCCTGTGGCACCCTGCACCCCCGCCACCCTGCCTCATCTCTCACTTGTCCCTGTGCTTCTGAAGATCCAGGGACGGCTCTTGTCATGAGCAGAAGCAGAGCAGATGGCTCTCCTCTGAGCAGCTGGCCGCTGATGCCAGTAGCCGCAGCATCGAGCTGTGTTTAGGACTTCAGTTGATACTTCATTACATTTATATCATGGGACTCACTGATGGGTTTCTGAAGTTTTCTGCTTGTAATGGGCCTGTTGATAAGGCTTTTCCTGTATGTTCAAGTACACGACCCTTGATCACTGGGACTAGCGTGTCCTTAACCTGCTGTTGGGGTGGAGCAGAGGAAAGCTCTGCTCCTCTTCCTCTCTCACTTGCGGTCGCAGTTACATTGGTGACTGAATGTGAACTCACCTCCCCGTGAGCATGTTTCAGTCGGGATTCTAAACATGTGACTCTAGGGTGGGCGGGTGCCTTTGGACACTCTCCTGCTCTCTGCTTGTGCATCTTCAGGCTCTGGGTCACTGGTCACCTCTCCCAGGAGGCCCAGAGCTCCAGCTCAATAGTCCTCTCCTGGGATATCTGACTGATGCTTCAGCATTTTGAAAATGCCTTCAAAATTCACGTCATTTGAATTGCCGGCATCTCTCTATTTGAAGTTAAAAGTGTTTCGCGTAGGCAGAAGTGTTTTAGGGCTGTTGGATATTAGTCCCAAATCTAATTTATGTTTTCAATTTAAACATTATCCCCTAGGTGGGTCTTTTTCCCTGTGCTGACTGTTAGCAGGCAACCCCTCTGTGCTTTGCTTTGTGCTCCAGCCTGTGCTGGGAGTCTCCAGCCTACACACTAGATTCAGCCAGGGAGCTTTTAAATGTATCAGTGCACAGACTCCATCCCTAGAGAGTCTTGTTCTGTTGTTGAGGGTAGGGTAGAGGACATGAGAATATTTAAAAAACTCCTTGCCATGAGCCAGGGCTGTAGCTCTAATGCAGTCACATTGCTAGGAACAGGCTGCCAGAGAGACATTGAGTATTTTTCTAAGTGAGATCGATGCCAGCAGTAAGAAGAGTGTTGACGTAGAGCCAGGCTTCTCTCGGTTCTTGACTTGGTCATTGTACTGCCTTGACCTGGTCGTGGCCGTGGGGCTGGGCCTTGACCGGATCTCTGGCTGTGAACCCAACAGTGTCATGAGCGTAATGACAGTAAACTGAGGACTGGATTCTACTTGGTTTTTGTGTTATAGCCTGAAATCTCTAGTTCAAGACAGAATTTTCTAAATATATTAATATGGTGGTCGGATACAGAACCATCTTTTCACTTCTCCATTTAAGAATCTCGTGTGTCAGGTGCTCACTTCAGCAGCACATACGCTTAAGTTGGAGCAAGACAGAGAAGATTAACATGGCCCTTGCGCAAGGATGACATGCAGATTCGTGAAGCGTTCCATATTCAACAACAACAACAACTCCTATGGCGGTTATGATAGCCGGAGACCCCTAGGCCTGATCAGCCTGAAACGTGTGTGGTGTTCTCACTTACTTTCTAGTCACTCTCACCAGCATCTCTAAATATTAACGTTGTGCACATGCTCTTGGTAACTTTGATAACTAGTATCTACTCCTTTGAGCAAGTTAAGCCTGCAGCATTCTTCACGCCCACTTGAGTTTCTGTTTGCAGGGAGTGGGGTGTATAGTCAAAGATCTGGTGACCTGCTGTCGTTACACAAGGAATCGTTGCTAAAGCTCAGAACAGAACTTAGCACATCGTATTCATCTACTGTATCAAGTACTGTATCAAGTACAGTTCGTAATCATTTATTTTTGTCTAAAAATTTGTATATTTTTCTAATTCTGGGAATGTATCTTGCACTTTTCATTAAAGGTTATATATTTGTATGTAAGCTTATGTACTCTGAAGTATCTCACAGTAAACATTTCTGAAATAAGTAAAATATCAGTTCTCAAACTTTTTGGCCTCAGTACTCGTTTACACTCTTAAAAACTATTAGGGACCCCAAAGATCTTCTATTTATGTGGGTTATATATTTTGACATTTACTATATTAGAAATTAAAACTGGAAACATTCAAAAATATGTATTCATTCATTCAACAATAATAAACCTGTTACATTTTAACGTAAGTTAACTTTGTTAAACAAAAAGTAACTGTTCCATAACCCAAAATTTAATAAGAATAGTGGCATTGTTTAAATTTATGAAGATCTCTTTAATATCTGGTTTAGTAGAAAGCAGCTGGGTTCTCGTCTCTTCTGCATTGCCTGTTGTGATATTACACATAATGTAAGCCTTTGGAAAATTCCAGTACACACATCAGAAAATGACTATGAGAATTGCTGGGGGCGAATTATGAATGATGAAAGATCTTTGAGAAAAAGGAACTCCAAACTAGAGTTTCTGAACTTGAAGATCATTTACCTTTATTGGAAAAGGAGTAAAAATAAGAAAATGTGACAGTCTTGTGCCTTTAGGTAGTATTTCCTTTGCAAATTTATCATTACAAAGGAATTTATCACCACTGAAAAATTCGAGAATGTTTGGGGAGTAAGCGTAATCAATTTCATTTTTCTTACATGGCGTTATGGTATATTTTCTGATCTGATGCTTTTTTAAAGCCATACTACTGTAACTTTTAATTTTCTAATTTCCAATGGAGGCTCATTTCTTTGACAAAATGAGAATTAAAACTAACAGCTGAATGTCCTTCTCTTCCCAGCCCTTCCCCACAGGAAGATGGGCAGATCATGTTTGATGTGGAGATGCGCACCAGCAGGGACCACAGCTCTCAGGTGTGTGTGTGTGTGAATTTATTTTTCTGGTTTACCATAGATAGTTAGGAAAATGCAAATCTTTAATTCTGTTTTGCTAAAATACAGGAAAGAATATGAAGGGTTTAAAAAATAGTTTGAAACTGTTTATAGTTACTTAGTTTCTGATGTTGGAACTTACTTATGATGGTAGAGTCATCATTGTACTCCCTTACAACTAAGAATTTTGGGTCCTGTGGCCCTAAAAGAATTGGAAAATTCTTGTCTGTAATGTGTCATTCCAATATTCTAAGCTAGTTTTTTGAGTTTATAAACAGAAAACTGAGACAGATGTCTTATTTAAAGTACAGAATAAATGAAAAGGGAGGTTGTCATAGAACCAGGTGTGAAAACTTTTTTGCGTCTGAAATCAGAGCGCGGTGACTTTTGAGAAGACTTTCAACAGCTAGAGAAAGATTCGTCTAAATTATGTGCAGTTCCTGAAGGTAAAGAAGGTGTAGTTCACTAGGAGTCGACATTGTTAGAAATATAGATGCATGTGGTAGGGAAAGTTTACAAAGGTCTTCAGTATAAAACTGACACGGTAAATAATCATTGTCAACAATTTAGAATGTTCATAGCCAACCCTTGACTTTATCAGTGTGTCAGATCACCTACAAGTGTCAGAGACCAAATTCTTGAGGACAGGAACCACTGTCCTTTTCTCCTGTGTTAAGGTACTTGAAGAATATACGTATTTGAATGTTTCAGCAAATGCTAACAAAAACTTTGCTTTGCGGGGCTCTCACCATGCAGTGTCCTCAGTCCCTTTGCACTGGAAATATTTTGCATGTTATCTTGGATTCACCTGTGTTCTTTCTGTTCCGAGGCTGCACACTTTCTCCCTACTTTGTGCTTTACTTGTGCTGTTTCCTGAAACCTAGAAAATCTCTGGGCCTGAATACTCATTTATTGTCTAACGAGCTGGATACGTGGAGAAGCTTGCGAGGCTCCCGTGTGGAAAGTCGTCTGAATGGAGTTGTGGAATTATTGCTTGCTTACGTGTGTCAGTTTTGCTGTGTGCGGTCAGCTGTCGCTCATAAAGAGAAACGTAGATAAAGTTTCCGTGGGGAAAAGTACGCTCAGGAGTCCCAGGGTAGAGGCATGAGATGAATTCCTTGCTGTAGGCTTTTCCTCAGGAAGATGTCTCCATCCATGTGGCCTTTTGTACAGATGAGTTGAAAATCTAGAGTAGCGTTTTCCAAAATATGTTTTGAGGAGCACTCATTCAAAGGGAAGCCCCTTGAGATAGTTCCGAAGTCAGATAAGCGGGAAATAATGCAGCCCCGGGCTCCCTCGCCCTCCTGCTCCAGTGGTCACGGTGCACAGTGGCGCACTAAAGGCTCTGACAGCTCGCGCAGTAAAGAAATTTGCTTACTTAAACCAAGTACAGTCGTTCCTCGTTATCCTCAGCGCACTGGTTCCAGCTCCCCCCACCCCCACAACAGTACCACAGTCCACAGATGCTCAAGTCCCTCATCTAAAGTGGTGAGGTACCGTCAGCCTTCCTTACTCATGGATGTGCACCCCACGGGTACTGAGGGCCGACTGTGGTTCCCAGACTTATTGACCTTAGACCTCCCTCCCTCTCCACACATACTTCCCCCATAATAATCTACCTGATAACTACCGATAAGAGCTGTCCTGGCTCATGGGGTGGCAGGTTCACACTTAGGCTCACCCGAGAATTGAATATTAAGTGGAATTCTAGAGCTGACTGCATCCATCCTAGAATTCCAAAGGAATTGATGAAATTCAGGCGAGAAAATGGAAGCGTTTGGCCTCTGTGTCAGATTGTGGTCGGATTGCTAGTGTGATCCTTACTCAGAAGCAGGTGCTTAGAGGAGCACTGGGCATCACCAAGCATTGGGTAAACGATACTAACAGTCACATCAGTCCCTTTAAACCAGGTTCTGGTTTTAGAAAAGCAGTTTAACTCCTAAAAGAAAAACATTTTGTGTTTTAGAGTTAAACTTTTAATAAGGGCGAAGTCAATCAGTATCATTACTTAAACTTTCAAAAAGCCTTTTTTACGTTGCCTGTTTTTAATTGAAGAAATGATAATTTAAAATTAATTAGAGCTTGGGGGGATGGATTTTTTTCCCTCATAAATGAAAAGCAAGCTTAGGGTTAGGAAATAGTTAAAAACAGTTGGCCACTATGCTACTTGCTCTTATTGAATATTTTTATATATATCTACACAAGGAATATATGACATTTTTAGCCTTTTCCAGGAGGAGGAAGGAAAGGCACTAATATCTATATTCTAGGTGCTAAATTTATTTTTAAAAAATTTTTCCCACTTTAGTATGCTTTCAGTCCAGTGAGAGAGGGAGTATTATCCCCATGAGCAAATGGGAAAAGTGAAGCTTTATCTTAATTAAGTCACTTATCTAAGATCACAAAGCAAATTAGTGATAGACCAGGATTGAAACCAGGGCTGTCCGAGCCTGTGGCCCCCGTTCCTTCTACTTAAATAAGTCAGTGAATGAGATTGACTTCAGGAGCGCTCACAGGCTCGTGAGAGTGGACTGAAGCATGTCTGGTGAGTCGTGGTATGAGGAAGCCTAGGATGTAATACGTTTAGGAAAAGATTGTTAAAACCATACTTTGGGGATGATAGTCCTTAAGACTCTCAGTTCAGTGGCAGAAAATAGACTGGAGACTGTCTCTCACAGGCATCTTTGCAGTGTGTTTCTGGGACCATAGAGGCCAGCACAGGACTCGGTATCAATTAAAAGATGAAACAAATTGAAAATATCTTCCTTTTCCCTCTTGTAAAACTGCGGTTTATCTGTGACACAGTATATCATTTAATACCCACATTTAGAGGCCTTAAGAGCTTGAGGTGGGCCAGAGAAGGAAAACGTGATTAGAAGGTAAAGGACTTCTTGCAAGAACAGGCTAAAATGATCAGAACAGACAGAGATGTGGCAAGAGGGTTGTTGATCTGGTTAAAGGCATGAATATTACTTAATTCGATTAACTGCATTTTTTACTGTATTCTGGAATTCCAAGAATCAGAGGGCAGTTTAAAACCTAAAACTGGCAAATTTAAGATTAATAAAAGGAGAAGACAGGGCAGTAGTGAATGAGGAGAGCTTACAATCCTTATTCTTAAGGTAAGGGTTCTAAACTGATCTGGGAATTTTTTTTTTTAATAATAGTCCAAAGATCATCATCTTTAAAAAATTAGCATCAAATCTTATATTTTCCTTCTCTTAGAAAATATGAAGTATTACCTTGTTCACAAATTTAAGCCTAAATCTTTGAGCAGTTTTAGAGAGAGACATTTGAGACCAAAGTTGGAAACGAAACAGAAGTGGCCTGCAGTGTGTTGATTGTCGTGAGCTATTGTGTGATACCTCCTGATCTATAAGTAAATTGTAACAGTTTACTGTTTTTGATTTAGGATGTTTTCAGATTTACCCCAGAGAGCCAGTCAGGATTTTGAGTAATCTCAAATCTCAAACAAGTGGAACGGACTTAATCCTAAAGGCTACATTGTGTCATTCAGTGGAATTTGGCAAGTCCAGCAGAACTAAATGAGAATGATAGCACCAGAGTTGCAAAAATCCACAGGGATTTTACTTTCAGTTTGATAGCATAGGGACTGTCTGTGTCTAGAG